AGCTGGAGGCTGAGGCTTTGCTGGGACTGTGGAAGTTTTCGTGGACATGTTGGCAAGCTCCAAGTGGGGCAAAGGTAGGAACTGGATCCTTGGAATCGCGATCACGCGAGGCTTGGAAAATTGAGCAAGAGATGTACGATGTCTAAGCTACCGGAGCCGCTCTTTATAGATCAGCTACGAGGTGCACTTGGCCGACAGGTCCTGGCTGAGGCTGCCTTTGGCGCTGGTTGAGACGCGCATAGCACGTCGCCTGCCGCAGAGGTCGTCTGTGAGCCTGCGATGCGCGACCCAATACCGCTCTGGGCTCCCTCCAGACGGATTGGCGAGCGGAGCAGCGATGCATGCCTACAGCGCATGCGCATGCCCCAAGTCACCTTCGTCATTGCAGGTTGGCGGAAGGAGAGTAGTGCTCCGGGCGAGGATGTGCCTGGCAAGAATGCGACCGTGATTGGTGGCTTGCCCTTGCCGCTAGTTCCCGACATGCGCCTCTCGGGTGCAAAAGTCACCTCTGTTCGCCGAGCTGTTCCTTGATTCCAAAAGCCGCGAATTTGATTGCGGACATGCATGGCAAGAGCATCTGCTGCTGCTGCTGCTGCCTTTTCGACTGCTGCCAAAGACGTGCTAGAGCAGAGATCAGTAGGTGGTGAGAGGAGGACGCGAAGAGGGACAATCACAATTTGATTATGAAACGCGCTCGCTGCAAAGCGCTCCCGAGGTCCGTGCGTGTGGCTTGCTGCACGCGAAGACCCTCATCAGCCCGCACGGTCGCTACTCTTCCAGCAGGCGAGCAGGGACGAAGTTGCACCGTGTGCTTGCATGCATCCACTCCGCACAACGCGGGGAGGGGAAGCTTTCACTCAGCAGAGTTTGAGCTCCGCTTCGTCCTGCTCCCGCGTCTGATTTGCCGACATTTCTCGGGATCGCATGGGAATGCCAATTGCGAGTCGTCCCACCCGTGGATCGTCGTTGGGATCAACGCTGTCTGCAGTCGGTTGAGTACGAAGGAGGGGGGGGGGGGGAACTGACCCTCAGCG